TTGCTTCTTATAGAGAATCTCAATATGAGCGGCTCCGTACAAGAACCGGTTCTTTCCAGTAGTTTAACTCCTTGGCTTGTTATTCTGGCTGATCCTGTTATTGGTTCTCCAATCAGCTGATTTCAGTATGTGTGCAGCAGGAGGAAGATAACGGCTCCGTCTGCAGCGTGAGCATGGATGTTACTTTTATTATTATTGAGGACGAGAGCGTGATGGTGAAGTGTAACCTGGACAAACAGCTGCATCATGCTGCTAACAGACAGCATGCTAACACCATGTTTGCTCTGTGCTCAGACCTGAATGTGAGACACAGATCACACGTGTGTGTCCTCAAACCAGCAGCTGTGAGTTTCAGGTCATCGTGTTGTACTTCAGGAAAAGAGTGACATTAGTGTAACTTTGTAGAGTAATAACTCAACAAGGAGACCCTTTCAGCACAAACATTTGACCACACAGCGTGTAGTTAATGATGTCATGTCTTTGGTGCTGTTAGAGAGGGTGGAGCCTCTCACAGCAGAGCCAATCAGAGCCCAGTGATAGCTCCACAGTGGAAATGAGCAGTGTTGTATGAAATGTAATTTCTGGTGCTTTTTCCACAGTCAGCCTTCCTCCCAACAAAGTGACCCCAGAGGGCCTGGTCTTCGTCCTTCAGTGGGTCCTCGCAGCTCTCATCTGCTACTGGCTGATCTCTCTTGCCTTCCGATTGGTTGCCTCCACTCTGATGTGCGCCCTGTGGTTTCTGAAAGTCGGAGTCGCTTTGACCTGTTTTGTGCTCATCCTGAGCGACTACGGCGTGGGCACGGAGGTGATGGCCGTCCGGCTGGCTGTCCTGCTGTGTGTCTGCGTGCTGCTGGACGTCGGGACTCGGGGAAGTTCCAGCGCGGCGAATCAAACCGCTCGCCTCGAGGAGCAGGTGAAGATCCTGGAGAGACGGCTGAGGGAGATGGAGCGGTGGACGAGGACAGAAGACTGACGGAGATCTGCTGACATCCAAGTCAAACGACAGTCGCTCGAGGATCTCTGCGTCTCTGTTCTTCAAATTCACAGGAAGCACAAACAGATCGAACTCGTCGACGAGTTGAATGGATGCAGCTCCTCTGTGTGCTCCTGTCAGGTCACAGCGACGTCACAAAGAGCTTCACAGGTTTTCGTCGCTGCACTTCAGCTGCAGTGAATCAGCAGGAGTTGCAGGACAAACTGACACATCGATCAGGTGATGAACTGCTGATCTCAGGCCTGTTTTCAGTCATTTCACTAATAAACAACTTTTCAAAAACACGCGCTCCTTTTTCTTTTCACCGAGTAAAAAAACAGGTTTGAGCATGGCGTCGCGTCACCGTCTCTCGCTCAGTGGAAGTAGGGCCTTGGTCCTGGTTGGACTGCTGCATGTCTACTTGAACTTTAACTATGTTTAAAAAAGGGGATGTTGAACCTGCAGCTTTAACAAAGAAACAGATGAAGGTGATAAACGGTGCTGGACTGATGCAGATGTAAGGTCTGCTGCTGAGTCTCCCAGGCTCAAATCCAAGCTGTGGAGGTGGTGCAGGTAGCGTGGACAGGACGTCTGATCTGCTGCAGGACTACAGTCTGTCATTTGTGTTCATCTTTTAATCAGTGTAGGCTCTTCTGACTCATTTGCACAGGAGCAGATGGGACCTGCACTTCTTGACTGTCTCAGTTTTTCCTCCACGTCACAAATGCTCCACAGTTCTTGTGATGGGAAGAAGTAAATAATCAGTAAACAGCTCCAGTTGTTTTGTAGCTTCAACACAAACGTGGAAATGTTGTAATCAAAGCACCAAACTATGATAAATGCTGCAGGACAGGTGTGGCTCAGTCACACTGCCGTCTTTGACATGAGAATAAACTCGTTGGTTACAGACGTGGGACAAACGGCTTAAATAAGCAGACTCAGATATATTTTGGGTCCAAGCCAGGAGCACCCCCAAAAATGGGCTAAAATCAACCCCAAAGATGTCTTACTTTTTTGACAATATTTGCTGTTTGTGTGAAACACTACTAAAATATAAAAAACATACTGTACTTGGTTGAGACGTAACATTTTAACAACAAAAGTATAAATAACCCCCCCTCCCATAATGGTTTGTTCCAGCTCGCCTCTTCCCTGCTCTGGCTCTAGCGCCGTTGCTGCCAGAGCGATGGTGGCTCAGCGGAGCGGAGGTGTTAGTGTCTGATTTAAAACAGGACATGTTAGCTGCATTTAACCTTCAGTTACTCTTTATATAGTTGGTAGGAGTCAGACCATGAAAACATTACACCAGGTAACCTGCAGTGTTGAAAACGTGTTTAACAACGATGTTTGCTGCCCTACAATCCGTCCTCCTGTAGTAAAATCAGCAACATTTGACCGTCCTGTTGCTAACATTGAAACGTATACAGCCTGTTTAAAATCTAAAACTTTAAATTGTCCGCAGCCTGCTG